TAACAAGTCCTTTGAGAACGTGAAGAACGTGGTAACGACTTCTAAACTGAAGTAACCTTCCCACTGGTGGTTTGGGGCTTAGTGAAGTGACCTGTGTAAAATGTACAAAAGATTCTAAAAATAAAAATCCAAATATCACATTCACATGTGAAAAGCAAAAGTGCTATTTGAAGGAGGCAGCGAGATGTTAGATGGGAGCAGTGGATTGTCAGTAACTAATGGTAATGGTGAAGCAGGGCCTTTTTAATGCCTCTGCTGTTTTGTTTAGGATTCCATATTAAATGGCAGCATTACTGTAACTTTCTATTTTTACAGCAACTTCAAGCTGCTGCGTTTTGTTTTGAAAAATGAGGACAAAGTCACAAGCTCGACAAGAACTTTCCACTCATTTTGCCACCGCAGCAGAAAGTACGCTGAAAGCTACGCAAATCTATTTTAGTTGTGGAGCCATTTTATTATTATTTCTACCCAAATGCACATCAATGCGCTGATTAGACGTGCAGGATTTACAACTTGCTGCCGTGGAAGTGGGAGCGTGGCTGGAACACATCACGGGAGCTCGAGTCTCTGGAAATAGTTCTGTAAGTGACAGAGCTCTTAAGTTTCCTCCTAGAAAATGTCAAGTGACTGTAACACTTCAACAGATAATGAGTTTTAATAACCTTTAGAGTGTTATTCTTCATTAAAAAGACAAATGTACGAAAAATTTTAGAGGAAATTAGAAGTTGACCTTTGTAGGACCTGCAAATGGAATTTCAGTCCACTTTGATTTGGGGAGCGTTCACAGCAGGTCCTGATTTCATTACTGACGCATTCAATGACTAGAAAACCGACCAACACCATAGGTGTTTCATGTTTGAAAGGCTCATATTAAACAACCAAAGCTTCGAATAATGAGGTCTGCATGAAGCCTACAAATAATCCCAAAAGCTGTTCTCTGCTCTAAACGTTCTCTTTCGGAAAGCTGGCTGGAAGCAGGAGGGAAGCAAGCTGAAACGGCATCTTCCAGACAGAGGATGAACTGCACCGAGGCCCAGTTTAAGACAAGTAAGGATTATTTTTAACTGAATCATGCAAATCTACTCCAGAACAGTCCAACAGTAAAAATGTGGAGCTGGGAATATTTCATAGCCGAAGCATCGTTTTCAAAATGTGAACAAATATAGGCTAATATAGCATACAGCATGATTCAGTTAATACACTGGTTTGTTTTCATGTGAAAGGAAAATAGGTCAACTTTAATGAGAGAAAATAACGACAAATTAAGACCTGCTAACTTAAAACAAACAAAAAGTAATAACTCTAAGAGAGCTGGGAGTCTGATTAAGGTGGTTTTTCTTATCAAAATCCAGAATCACTGAGGACTGTTTTTGTTTTTCA